GTTGGTTCTTCTGACCATAGTTTTCCTTGTGGAGCCACTATTTGCCTTGCTGCTCCCCGCCCCCCGCCCCCAATCCAGGTCCTTATTACATAGGTCCTGACCAGACCTTAGGGTCACCAACCTTAAGGTGGTGGCTGGAGATCTCCTGGGATTACAACTGATCTCCAGGCAACAGAGATCAGTTCACCTTGAGCAAGTGGCTGCTTTGGAAAGCAGACTCTATGGCATTACAGCCCATTGAAGTCTCTCCCCTTCCCAAACCCCACCTTTCTCAGGACCCACCCCCTAAATCTCCAGGTATTTCCCAATCCAGAACTAGCAAACCCTATCAGACTTGTTATGTTTTCCAGAGTTGTGTAGTGGTTACAGCGTTGGACTAAGACCTTGAAGACCCAGGTGCAAATCCCCACTCTGCCATGACCATGAAGCTCACAGAGTAACCCCGGGCCCATCAGCCTAATTTGCTGTGAGGACAATATGGAGGAGGAGGAGAGCACTACCCTGTTTCCCCGAAAATAAGACCTACCCAAAAAATAAGCCCTAGCAGGATTTCTATGCATTTGTGGTATAAGCCCTAGTGTATCTTCTTGAGAAAAAAATAAATATAAGACAGTGTCTTATTTTCGGGGAAACATAGTATGAATGTTGGCACCCTTAGGTTCTTGGACAGAGGGTGGAATAAAATTGCAATAGATATATAGAAATAGGTGCTCTGCAGGGTCAATTTAGGTTAGGAGATTTAAATCCACCTCACCCTGCACTGAGGTTGTGGTCCAGATTCACCTGCTTTTTTGTAGCAAATACGACTTTTGTTCAGAGAACTCACAACCGCCTGTGTATGTTTTAGGGTTGCCAAGTAAAAAAAACTCACCGGGGAGCTGTCCCCGGATGCGCGCGCGCCGCCAGCACGTCACCGGAAGTGATGCGCGACATCGACCACATTGAGGGCGTGGCCCTGATCGTCGGAGGGAAAACCATAGAGTCTTCCCTCCGACGATCCGGGCCACGCCCCCAACGTGATCGACATGGTTGCGTCACCTCCGGTGACACAGCCACGCTGCGCTTTGGGGGGCGGAGTTCCCCCCAGGACCCGATTCCGCAGCGGCGGAAATCGGGCCTCCAAAGCGGGGGTTTACCCGCCACCCGCCACCACTTGGCAGCCCTAGTATGTTTGCCCAAAGCATTCGGAGAAGCATCACCTGCCACGTTTGTATGTGGCAAGTTGCAGTCAAAGACAAGGAACAGAGCAGGAAAAGTAAAGATACGCTAACACTAAGCTATACATGGCAATAGTATTACCAGCCATGTCTAACGGTTGCTCAGTTTTATATCGGTGCTTATGTGGCTGATGAAGAGGCCAGGACAGAATCCTGCGTTAACCCCCAGCTTGTTTACCAAGCCCTCCCGTTGCTCTCTGAGGTTCTTTTGGTTGCTCAATTTACTCTAGTTGATGTAATGCACAGATTGGCAAGGCCCGAGACCAGCCAAACAAGGAAGCAACACTGATCTGCCTTCCCCTCCCCTTCCCACTACAAATGCAAACCCGCCCTGCTTGCCTTCCTTTACACCCCACAGCTCATTTCCTGTGTGCCTTGAATGCTGCACAACCAGCTAAGCCAGCCAGGTCCTTGATTTGGTAGCTCAGGGATCTCAAATGGTTGCAAAAGGAGAATGCCTACTCAGACAGCATAGTGGAGTTAGACACTGCATGTCCGTTACCTTCCATGCAAAACCTCACTCTGTGTGGTGTAACAAGGGCAGGATACCTATACTGGGGTGGGCTTGGCTGAGGTTAATTATGGTGGATAGCCTTTACAGGCTCAGAGGCAAACTTCCATTACTGTTGATGGCATAGTTAGAGCTGCTGAGCTGGAATCCAGAGCCATCTGACATTATTATCAGACTTGATCTTAATAGTGACTGCGAGCAGCTAGTTTCAAAGAGTATCAAGTACTGCTCTGCAGTAGAACCGCTAGATTCGAGTCCACCTTAGAGATCAACAAGATTTTGGGGGTGTAAGCTTTTGAGAGTCAAAGCTCCCTTTGTATTTCAGTTTTCTTTTTGTATTTTTATGTGTGTGTGCATGCGTGAGTGTGTGTGCACCTGGAAGTCCTGGTGACCTCTGGTGATTGATCCCTACTGGGGGCCTGGAGGATATTCAGAGAGGTGGATTCCACCTCTGGTATTCCTCGGAGGTCACCCTTGCAAATACTAGCCAGGGCTGGCCCTGCTTTGCTTTTGAGATCTGACGAGATCGGACTTGCCTGGGATATCCAGGTCAGGGCAGCTCCCTTTGTATTTCTAAGGTGCTACTGGAATCAAATTGAGCTGTTTTTCATATCTGGTTTGTAGGGATTGTGAACCATCAAAGTTCAGTTTAAGTCTCCCAGAGCACTTACTCCTTTATATTTTTCTCCTTTGCTGCTTCTTCTTCCATCTTAATTAATTACTCCCTGTTCTATAGCAGCCTGAATTGTCATTGATGAATCCGTTCTTTTTTTGATAAGGGAATTAAACACTGCTTTTTATTTTGCAGCCTTTTGCTGCTTTTTATTTTGTGTTGCTCATTATTTAATTTGATTTTTACAATCATGTTTTTCCAATTGCTGTGTTATGGTCATGGAAACCTAATTAAAATAATGAGCACAGGGTTTGGTGGCAACGTGAAAAGCAATCCCCAACCTGCTAATTAACGACTGGTTCAGGAATGCTGTGACCATGAGAAAATTATAATGAATTAATAGCATTAAGTGCCATGTGAAACCACAGTTTCAATTCTACTTGTAGCTGATCTATTCAGGTAGGTAGCCGTGTTGGTCTGAAGCAACAGAACAAAGTCTGAAAGCTTACACGAAAGCTGATACCCAGAATTAAACTTTGTTGGTCTTGAAGGTGCCTCTGGGCTCAAACTTTGTTGTGTAGATTGTGTCATTGGAACATACCTGCAGGATCCAACACATTGTTAGATGTCAAATGCTGATGTTGAATATAGAACACTCAGCAAAGTTTTAGATTATATTTGTGTATTTCCTGAATATCTAGCACAAAGAATTGGACAGAGGGAGAAAACTTGTTTCAGATGCATATGGCAATTTTAGATTTCCACAACATAAGCACCCTCAACTGTCTTGTGTTGACCTGGGCTGGGCTGAATTGTAGAATAAGACTGGTAGGATAAGTGAACATCCCTGATTATAATTATTTCCATATCATTTTTCTGTACAGAAAGCATTTTTTCTTCTCAGCCGTTCTCACCATGACACTAAAAGCACTTCTTGAGTTTCTCCCTAATCTTTTGTGTTAGGAAGAACGAGAAACTGAAATGTACGTTTCAGATTTTGATGGCTGTCGTAAAATGGTATCTCCCTTATATATAAAAGCCGAATGGTGGTGGCACTTCTCTAGAACATTCCACACGCTCCGGAATTGGTTGGCGCCCTGGTGTGTCACTCAGAATCTGTCCCTATCCACTGGCTGCATTGCTTGAGTCTCACCTCCAACATTCTAAACAGTTTGCTGTTCCCCTCCCCCCCCATAGCCAGTCAGAACACAGAGGTTATTTGCATATGCAGCCTCATTGGCCTTTGCCTCAGAACGCAGAGGTCATTTGCATATGCAACTTGATTGGCTTTTGCCTCTAACATTCTAAACAGTTTGCTGTTCTGAGGTAAAATGTGTCCAGGTGAATTACAACTGCTTTCCAGATGGCAGAGATCAGTTCCCCTGGAGAAAATGGTGGGATCTGTATCCTTATATGCTGCTGAGGTGGCCCCTGTATGACAGCCAATGTGATGTAGCAGTAAGGGCTTCAGAGCACGGGAGAGGCTGCAGGTGTGTGGGGGGTTGAAAGCTGGAGGGGAAAATAAAGGTAGGTTGATAATTGGCTGGGAAGGAGATAGGATTGCCAACTCCAGGTGGGAAATTCCTGGAGATGTGAGGGATGGAGCCTGGAGAGGGTGAGGTTTCAGGAGGCGTGGGACCTCGGACAGGTACAAAGCCATAGACTCCACCCTCCAAACCAACCATTCCCTTCTGGGGAACCATCATTGCCAATCTCCAGGTGAGGGCTGGAGATCACTCAAAATTACAACTGTTCTTTAGGAAGCAGAGATCAGTTCCTCTGGAGAAAATGGTGGACTCAGTGTCAATATACCCTGCTGAGGTTGACACAGCAAATTGACACTGAGTGTTCAAGGCCGGGGCACCCGCCCAGAGCCTCTTTCTAGAGGCCATTGTATTTATTTCCACAACGGACCTTTTTCCTAGTTTATCTATAACTGGAATCCTACGGCTGGGATGGAGACCCAATCAGTATTTGACAGTACCTAATAGTTGGTAGGCAACAAAATGCATTAAACTCTTGCTTTTACACTCATTTCACTCAATCAGCTGTGACCCCCCAAAAAAATATCCTTTCAAATTTTGAGATCAAAATATGTATTCAAAATTCCAAACCTAAAGTTCAAAGCCTGCATTTAAACCCCACATTTTTTCCACAAAAACCACTTTCAAAATTCAAATGTTCTGCTCAAAACCTCAGGTTGAATGTCAAAAGTTTTGATTTCAACATCCACATTTTGTAGCTTCGTGTAACCAGGCATTCACCCTGCCATGGCTAAGCAGAAACGCATCTTCTGTTACCTCTAATGGTACTGCCTCTGCCCCTCGATGTGTAGAAGATAGAAACCCACAACAAAGAGCTATTGATAATCATTTGGTGGTCAGTGTACGAATGAGATTCATTTGGAACCATTCAAGACCCTTATCCACAAACAATATTCTCATCCTCTCATAAAGTTGCTAGTAGTTTTGTAATAAGCATTACAGACCACCAAGAAGGTGACGGAAACCCCCCCAGAGGTCCAACCAAAGCCTACAGAATAAGCCCACAAGTGACATTAGTTAGATGGAGGCCCTTCTTTTTCCATTTCCTGTGTGAGGGTAACAGATATCTGAGACCAAGAGAAGAAAGGATGAGCCCAAGAGAGGAAATCACTTACCATCATGACCAGATAACTGGAGATGCTCCACCAGGTCACACCCAAAGACCCGGTCCTTAGGCGCTGCCTTCCTCCTCACTTTCTGCCGAGCTTTCATGGCCAGCGACATGTGTGTGGATGCCAGGGCTGCGCCGTAACTGCTTCTCAACACTCAAGGCCTTGCTCCTTCTGTCCCTGAGGCTTCTTTGGGTTCATTGGGCTTCAAGAGATAGGTTTTTGACAGTTGCGCTAGCAGCCCACGACTCCTTCAAAACATGCAACGCAGCCCAGCCTCGGAGATCTTTTGCTTCCTGAAATCCATGGCTAGTGTCTGCGGCCTTAACTCTTCATAGTCCAGATCTTCATTGAGGTCCGCTTTAAGATGAGTTGGCTAGTCAACGGACGAGTGCAAAGGCTCCAGTGTTTCCAGGTTCTTTTGGGGAGACCTTTGGCCAGCCTTGCTGTGATGGGGGTATCAACTGGCGAGTGAAAACGGCTGAGGCCCCAAGGCCTCAAGCGAAAAAGAAATCGTTACACTTCTGTTCTCAGTCAGAGCCAACAGGAAGTGAGTTCAGCAGCCTCCAAACCCAACTTCCCGTACTGAGCATCTTTGAAACCACAAAGAACAAGTGAAGTCTTGCGCACACATCTTTGTTCCCCCTCCCCTCTCTCTCTCTCTCTCTCTCTCTCTCTCTCTCTCTCTCTCGCTCACACACACACACACACACAAACATTGGTATGGATTTAGGGCTAGGTCACATGATTATAAATACTTCCCTTTTAATGCCTTCAATTTTCTTACTTTTGTCTTTCTGGACAAAATCTGGTCAAGAATTCTGTCAATTGGCCATTACAAGAATAATCTCATACACTCCAACTGTTCCTGTTTTCCCAGGAAGAGTCTCAGTTTCCATAATATCTTTTCCCGTGCCACTTCCCCCATATTTCTTCCCATTGGGAATGCCATGTCAAAACATTATTAGTGTGAATTGCTAGCATTATCAGTCTTCAGGATTCAACTCCCTTCTCTCTAGAAGTTCAGTCTCTGAGTGATACATAGATGCATTGTGTTGGTAGAGCACAATCATTTCAGTCCCTGTGCATGAACGCTAAAGCATCGTTTCCACATCCTGCATCCGCTGAGGGCCAAACTAGACATGACAGCATCCATGGGTCCAACCTGTGGATGCCATCACCACCATTTTAAAGTGATTTAAAAATGCTGCAAGGGCCCAGGCCTGATAGTGTCCGCAGCACAGTGGGCTGAGGTGCTCTTGTTTCATACATGCATGCCTTTTCAAGTGCCAAAATGGACCCCTCCCCCCACTGTTGTTTCAGCACTTAGAGCTGCTAGAGGGGTGAGTGTTTTTTTACTTGCTTTCAGCTGAGGGGATTCAGCTGAGGATATTGTGTGGGAGGACTGTGTTTGGGAGTGTGTGAAAGTGATTAGAGTTGTTGCAGAGTCCTGGCTGCTTGAGAGAGGGAGAGGAAGGGGCATTGTTTGACTGTGATTGACTGTAATTCAGTATTTAAGAAAGCACCTTGCCAGAGGCATGAGCCTCTGGCACAAGCCGAAGGGCGAGCTAAAGGGCTATTTGCCTGTGGCTCTTAGCTTAGGGGCTCTGTAAGAAGCCCAAGAAGAGCCAGAAAGTCAAGGCCCTAGGCTCTTTGTCTTCCCCGTAAGGTAAGTTGACCTCGACAAGAAAAACCACATAAATACAAAGGGTTTTTAAAAGGGGGATTATATTTACTTATTTTAAAAGAATTATGAAGACAGAATGTCAGCAGGGGGTTGGGGGCTATCCAGTGTTTTGCAACCAAGAAGAGCCAGAAAGCCAAGGCCCTAGGCTCTTTGTCTTCCCCGTAAGGTAAGTTGACCTCGACAAGAAAAACCACATAAATACAAAGGGTTTTTAAAAGGGGGATTATATTTACTTATTTTAAAAGAATTATGAAGACAGAATGTCAGCAGGGGGTTGGGGGCTATCCAGTGTTTTGCACGGAGTGCACATAGATGAACAAAACCTATTGAGGCAGACTCAGCATGGGTTCTGTAAGGGAAGATCTTGTCTCACTAACCTGTTAGTGT